TGAAACTACTCAACATTATAACCACTGGAAGTCTCACAAAGAAGCCACGTCCAAGTATAGAAAAGGTTCCACCCATTATGCTATACTAATTATAGTCCTCACGTAAAAATCTGCAGAAGAGACACATTTGCTGTCCAAGTTTATCAAGACATTCAAGAGCATTAGACTGTTAGCTCTGACTTGAACCAAGCAGAATAAACAAAGCAAAAATAAGTCAAAGGTCCCACTTCTAAAGAATTTATTTATTCTGCTTATCTCAAGAACTGGTTAAACATAAATCTGAAATACTTTCATCTTGGCTTTCAAAACGTATTGATACCACTGATTTCAAATAACCCTACAAATTTCCATGAATAGACATTTTTGCATGAATAGACAGTTTTTGGACAAACAACTTAACCTCAATCTATATGGTGATTCATAACCCATGGATTTTGAACCTCTATGAGGCCATGGAATTATTACAAGGAATCTGTATAAGCATTATCTCCAGTCTGAATGAATATCTTACAAATATGTATACACTGTATTTCAACTGGATGTAGATTCTGGTGTGACAAAGTCAAATTGATTTAAAAGCATTACTGAAATCACAGCAGCTTTTTGATATATCTTTTCATCAAAAGATACTAAAAGTACAAATATTATCTTATTGAGAGACAGTCATAATTTTTGGACCTTAAAAATGGAATATCTTACCAGAAAAGATAAAAAACCACAAGCCTACATATGCCATGATTCACAGATATAAATGTACTAGCCAAGGAGCAGCCTGGTGGCGCAGCAGTTAAGTTTGCATGTTCCGCTTCGGCAGCCCGGGGTTCACCAGTTCAGATCCTGGGTGCGGACCTACACACCACTTGATGAGCCAGGCTGTGGCAGGTGTCCCACATATAAAGTAGAGGAAGATGGGCATGGATGTTAGGTCAGGGCCAGTCTTCCTCAGCAAAAAAAAGGAGGATTGGGAGCAGATGTCAGCTCAGGGCTAATCTTCCTCAAAAAATAAAAAATAAAAAAATAAGTGTACTAGCCGAAAGAGGAAAAGGCAACATATAGATACAGACTCCACTTCCGTGGACGCCATCTAAGTGTAATTTGGCAAAACATAAAAGTTTATATGTATAAGATCTCAGAGTTGAATGCCTATAATTCTACTTGTCTGGCAGGTGAGAGATCAAAACCTCATAACGTCCTTTGGATCAGACAAGGGCTGTATTTTAATGCTGGAAAATATCTCCAGTTGTACACACTGTATTCTATACATTTTATTTTAAACCCTTGGAGCAGCCCTGTGGTTCTCAGCCTGAGTGCTGACAGGCTGACATTACTGCGAGCTAACACGTCCCCCACAGGAGAGACACTTACGATGTTTACCCTATCAAATCTTTTCCCCAACTCCCTGCATCAGAACTTATGTGAGATTCCTTCTGGAAACTCTCTCCTGCTAGTCCCTTCTAACTCCCAACTCACTACTGGTTTATTCTTGTGAACAGCACTCTCATCTTCCCACCTCTCTACTGCAGAGGCCAAAGCTCTTCCCCTAACATCCAATTATCTGTTCACCAGCCCTGCTCCTTCTCCTCCTAAAATCTGTCTTCCCTCACAGATATCAGTGGCCTGCCTAGATCAGCTCTAACAACCTACTCTGAAGTGCTCTTCACCTTCCAAAACCCGAGAGGCTGTTTTGTTGTTTAAAACAGGCATAGACTATGATTCTCTCCTGATTAGTTTTTGTTAAGACTGATATATTTAATTAATATTCCGTGGGGAAACAGCACTTGGACACCAGGGGGAAAGAAAGTGAAGCATGCAGAAGGTTGTGAAGAAGTCAATTTGGTATCAATAATTTATCAAGAAAATTTTTTTAAAAAACAGGTAATTGTATTTGAGTTCAACTAATTATAAAGAAGCAATGGATGATGAATACCCTGTCCTCAAAGCCATTTATACTCAACCCTCAAAAATGACTAGGCTTTTACCTCCAGTGAATCTCCTTGCCACACACCATATAACAAGGGACCTGCCCAAGCCAACAGCATCCCGTAACAGAGAACTACGGAAACAGAAGGGTCTGAAGTATTCCCAATGAGAGGATGAGACTGTGAGGCTCCAGCCCTCTGCTGTACCTCAGTGTCCACCATATCCAGTGCCCCCCATATCCTTTCTTCCTCTAGTGTGAAATGTGTGTGTGTGTGTATGTGAATAGAGACATATATATACACACACACACGTATGAATGTGCAGTACAAAAACATAAACAAGGAATTTTCCTCCTAATAACTATTTAATCAAAGTGAGACTTGTTAGAGAAAAAAACAAATTCTTCCCCCCAAATCTTCCCTCAAACTTGAGAATAATTATTGGACCAGTACTGTTCAAGGCAAACATCTAATAAGCACTTGGCTCAATTGCTATGCAGCAAATGTTGACAACTAAAATTTGTAATAAACTAGGAAACGATTTAATTTATACCCATTTTCAGATCCTCTGCCTAGAGTAATTCCCATTTTTTTTTAAAGATTGGCAGCTGAGCTAACATCTGATGCCAATCTTTTTTTCATTCTTCTTCTCTCCAAAACCGCCCAGTACATAGCTGTATATTCTAGTTGTAGGTCCTTCTGGTTGTGCTGTGTGGACGCCACCTCAGCACGGCCTGATGAGCGGTGCCATGTCTGCACCCAGGATCCAAACCGGTGAAACCCCAGGCCGCCAAAGTGGAGTGCGTGAACTTAACTACTTGGCCACGGGGCCGGCCCCAGTAATTCCTTTTTCTTATAAATTAAAAAACTATTGTAAGGAAAGAGTCAAGAAGTTACAGCAACAGGGACAAAATGTCATTCTGGATTCTCTATATTTCTCAACTCTTCAGAGAACTGGCAACAGGAACTTTGAGGGAAAATTACTTTTTAATGCCAGGATTATCCCTGCTCCCAGCTCCCAATTCGTTAGCTTAGAAACTTTAAAGATGTTGGAGATAACAGCTAAATGTTCGCCACTCCCTTTCCACCCAACTGCCCAGTTCTGAACTAACACATATGAAGACAAGTTAGACTAACCCATCTGGAGATGACCCAAGAAGCAATCATCACGTGGAGGCCAGCGAGGAGTTGCCCTATAACCTCTCTACTTCCAACCTCTACCAATCTCTAGGAAGTCTCTCCTAATTACGTGCTAACAAAATAGTTTTCTTCCCTCTTATTTCAAATTATAACAGACAAGAGGAAGATAAAGAAGACATATGAATAAAAAAACAATCTGTTCAGCTCTGCATGGAACTCAAAGGGTAGGCTATTTAATATGAACGCAAAGGCCTCAAGTCTAAGGGCTCCAGATCTGAAATTGCAACAGTTGTCTCTTCTCTTTGACAATCAGAGAAAGCTGAATCATCTCTCCCTTGACTCCTATTAAGGCTCCAGGGTCCTGAGTCTGTAAGCCTTCCAGCTGTAAACAAATGAACACCTGAAAAGTCCAGGTTATGTGGCCCTCCATCTTGGGTATTATATCTAAACTGTGTCTGAAACATTTAAGAGCAAGGCATTCCTAGAAATAAACTCTTAACCCCAACCATGTTCTGGTAGTAGACCAATGAATCTGCAATGTTTCTTCTAGAATGGGAGGCATCTCAGATTTCCAGGTTAATCTAGGTTGAAGAGGAAAAACAGATATGATGCACACAGAAAACTGGTCCTCATCCCATATACATTTCTTCTACTGTTTAACCCTAGTACTGAGGTCTCTAACCAAGACAGACATTTCTCATAGAGACACAATGTTCACTTGGCAAAACTTTAGTGGGATAAGAATCACTCGGCTATGTGCATTTCTATTTTTCTTCCTTGTGATGATTAATTTTATGTGTCAACTTGACTGGGCCATGGGACACCCAGATATTTGGTTGAACATTATTCTGGATGTGTCTGTGAGGGTATTTTTGGATAAGATTAATATCTGAATCAGCAGACTGAGTAAACAGATTGACCTCTCTAATATGGGTGGGCCTCATCCAATCAGTTGAAGGTCTGAACAAAACAAAATGGCTGACACTACTGCTAGCAAAAGGGAACTCCTCCTGCCTGACTGCATGAGTTGGGACATCAGTCCTTTGCTGCCCTTGAATTCAAACTGAAACATCAGCTCTTTTTGGGTCTCGAGCCTTCCAGCTTTTGGAGGCCTTTGGAATTGGACTGGAACTACACCACTAGCTCTTCTGGCTGGCTGACTACAGCTCTTGGGACTTCTTAGCCCCAACAATCACACGAGCCAATTCCTCCTAATAAATCTCTTTATATATATATGTGTGTACACACACACCCTTAGCCCCAATAATCACACGAGCCAATTCCTTATAATAAACCTCTTTATAGATATGTACACACACACACACACACCCTTTTGGTTCTGTTTCTCTACAGACCCCTGATGAGTACACTCCTTAACCTAAGTTAACCTGGAAGTCTGACATGCCTCCTATTCTAGGAAGAAACACTACAGATTCATGAAGTGGGAGGGGTCCAGGAAACAGAAATGAGCCTGATATCCTCTATCAGAGCAAAAAAAGTGAAGAAAATTTTGAAAAACTTAGAGTGATGCTATTTGCTGTTCTGTGTATTGAAAAGGTAAATCTCTATCTAGGGCTTTGTTTCCATGCCTTTGTGAAGCTACTACATCCTTTCTAGTTCTCTAGTTGTAAGCAAAAATACAACTGCCTGTCCTAGCCTCTCCGGACAGTGACAGGCAGACGAAAATTTCCAGGCTGTCATAATTTTTCTGACACTGCTCATACTGTTCTACTTGAAAACTGCAATGTGCTCCAACTTCAGCAGCCTTTCTCCATCTAAGTAGTGGCCGCCAAAGACACATAATATACCTCTCACCCTCCCAGCCTTTTCACCCTCCCATTTAAAACCAATGTGTATTTTTGGGCTACATTTCAATAGCCATGGTAAATAGCTCACATTCTCCAAAGAAACAATCTCTACAGAGGTATAACATGAGAGGCATATGAGAAAACATCTTTTATTCCCTCTGGGCCCAAACTGAATCATACGTTATAGTCACAACTTTTAGAGGCAGGCTATTAATTCAGCAAGCCACTCTCCCACTTTCTCTTTTCCCACTTCTACTCCTTCATCCTCTCACCGAAGTACAAAGATATTTCTAACCCTCTTTCCTCAGCCTCCCAAATCAGTGTACGAAAGTCAACAAAAACTGAGGAAAGACTCCTAGCCAAGAAAGATACTCACCAGCAAGTGGGCTTCTTGTTCTAATCATTCCAAACTATGAAAGGCAGATGTGACAATACAAACGGTGTCCCTCTGTCACCCTTTTTGGCACACCAACAGTGGTTACGTATCCCCATCATTTCCTTTTGAGACTCTGAAGTTCCAATGACATATTTGATCTTCATTTATTCAAGTTTAAACACTTATATGCTCCAAAGAGCATGTGCATGAGATACTGTTAGGCAGAAAAAGTAAGGCCTATCTCTCCTAGGCCAAGCTGTTTTGGGCATGATCACAATAATCAGTTTGATTCCAAATATACTCAGAACCAAGCAGAACAGAAAGGTTTCAGAGATGATAAAAGGAGTTAAAAAATTAAAATGAGACAATGTAAAATCTCAATTCCTGAAGACTAATGAAATACTAAAAACAGTGAATTGGCTGTAGAAGCAGTAATGAAGTAATTCTATTTCCGTGAGGGACATTATTATAAGGTCCCCAGGACAAAAGACAGTAAACAATGAGTTGGGAACCATTAAAAAACCTCAGAACCAAAGATTCAAATATCTGTCCTTCTGTGCCTGTATGCTGCCCAACTCATTCCCAAAGAGGAACCAGACTTGGATCCCTACCAACATAAAACTCCTAAGAACATGTCATGTTGGTTTCTCTGGAAACTGCCATCTTGTGAAGTAGTCTTTAAAAACTAAAATGAGAAAACCAAAGACTACAATAATAAGCCACTTTCTCCTTCCAACTGTGATTTTTCTTTGATTTGCTCTCTGAGGATTCAAGACAAAACAAAATCATTAGCCTAAGATTCCTGAATTAATCTGACCTCACTTCTTGGCTAATGTGGCCAAGAGCAGATGCTTTTGTACAATTAAAACAGAAGGACTTTATATCAGCAGGACTTCAGGGCTCTGGTTTCACTGTATTTACTATAAAATACACTAACAGTAAGGTGGAGATTGGAGAAGGAGATGGAAACATCCATTACAAGGTAACATGACAGATAGCAGGACCCTAGCTAGACTAAGCAACTGATTCTATTCTGGTGGGGGGAAACCCACATAATTAAGTTTCATACTTTTAAAATTATCACTCTGAATTCAGGAATAAGAGGCATTTGGTTGTAGATACAATTCCATCTGTAGATACTAACTTTAGAGAAGAAAAACACTCATTGCATTAATATTACGGTTGGGGCTTCTTATGTGGTTCCTAAATGTACCTACTATCTTTTGATACAATTTACAGCTGTGGTGAGAAGACTACCACAGCCCTGGCTCAGATGTGGTCTTTAGCTTCAGAAAGTCCATCGGTCATGTAGCTGGCTGTCACTGCTAAATCTGTTGCTTGCAGAGGCCTCAGAGCTCTGGGTTTGCCGAGTAGAGTCCTCACCATTTAAGCTCTTCCTACATACAGGACATGTGTCATGCTGAAACAGAAAGATATCAGTTCATGTAAACAGCCTGACCTGAGAAGTTGGAGGTACAGAACACTTAGAAACCCCGACAGTTGGCAGGCAAAAAACCAAAAAGGGCATACATTCTCACACAGGGCACACTGAGCTCCAAGGTGCACCACCAGGACATCTCCCAAAAAGAACTTTAAACAGAACTCAGAGAGAGAGTTCTAGGCCAGCAACTTAACAATAGCTAACACATATCACCAAACAGAATTAACCAGAATCAGTGACCTGAGATGGTCTACAGCAGGAGTCAGCAAACTTTCTCTGTAAAGGGACAGCTAGTAAATATTTTAGGCTTTGCCGGCCAGACCGCCTATGTCGCAACTACTCAATTCTGCTAACATAGCACAAAAGCAGCCATAGACTATTTGTATACAAATGAGCATACTTGTGTTCCAATAAAACTTCATTTACAAAAACAGATGACAGGCCACAGTGAACTTTGAGCTTTGGTTTGCTAAACCCTGGTCAGAGAAGTTCCAAACAGATAGTAATCTAAAAACCAGTAATGGTACTACTAGGAGTTAGCCAGGGACTAAAACCTGATCTGCTTGGCTCTCCATTAACTGTTAAATACACGCTTACTCTGAACTACCACCACCCCCACCACCCCACGAAGATGTGACAGGCAGAGATACCCCATCACAGATGACAGCTGTCTATACTCACCAGCTCTAACCACGGCACAATACAACTGCTGTGGAAGAAGTGGTTGCAGGGTAACTGCCGGACTTCCTCTTCAACTGTGTAATCTTCTTTGCATACTGGACACTCTAAACCCATATCTGTTGGAGGAAACAATGACTTTTAAAGTAAAGAAGCAAAAAGAAGGAAGAAAAAAACTTGTCCAATGTCTCTAACAACCAAAGGACATATGCATAAAGAACAGACACAGAGCACATCCAAGGAGAGGCAGATTGGAAGCATGAATTTGATTTCTGAATGGAGGTGGAGGTGGTGGTAGATGGGGATATGAAAAGGAGGACTGAGGAATGAGTCTATTCCAACACAGTCTAGATGGGAACTATATAAGGCCTACTTTTCAACGTAAAGAGTTGGAAAAAATAAACTGGGGCTTAGATTATCTGTCAAGTAAAACAAGAAAAACATCTTCTCAAATGTAGCTTTCTGGCAGTTTGCACTTAGCAAACACTGGCGATCTGTCCACCACAACAAGGCACTCATCTCAGCAATCTTAGCAGTCCCAGTCAGTGTCTCAAGCCACTTTTCCCCTACTATTTTCCACATCACGCATCTTCTTTCAGCATAGTTGGCCTCAAGCCCTCTGTACAAGTGGTTAATTAAAAGCTGTGCCAGAAGGTGGAGCTGCAGAATTGCAAAACCCAAGGGTAGTTCAGGCTACAAGTCCAGAGACAGGAAGCCCTGTTCTCTGAGAGGAAATGGCTACAAACTACATTGTGAGTACCTGGCAACAAACTCTGAGTTTCCCAAGTCTAGCTAATAATACCAGCTAGTCTCTCTCTCCAGTGGCTGAGGTATGCTACATGCCCCACAGCACTCAAGGCATTTGGAGAAGGACTACCACTTAATAGATTCACTCCTTCCTTCCATTCCTACCACGTTTGCCCTAATTCTAGCTTTTACTTCTTATGCCTAGTCTACTGCAGCAGCCTCTGAGGTGGTATCCCTGACTCCAAGCCTCCAATCCTCCAAATATATACTATGCTTTGCCACCAGCTAATTTGCCCTAATACTAGCTTCATAGCAATCTCCAGCTCATCCCCACTTCGATTCTTAGCTGGCACCTCAAAATCAACAAATTCAAAATTAAAAACCTCACATCACCTTCCTACCCAAACCAAGACCCACTCACAATTACTCCATCTCTGATGATGGCAGCACCACCGCTGTAGTTACAAAACTGCAAAATCTTAGTCATCTTTGACCCTCTCCCCTCCTTCATCCCATTATGCAATCAGTCATGAAAGCCCTTCTTCAAAATGATCTTCTGAATCTACCCTTTCCTTTCTGTTAGCATTGTCACCATCACCAGAACCCCACTTGGATGCTGCAACAGCCCCCTAAATCCATTCTTGCCTTTTCCTGCTTCCAATTTCCTTTACACACTACCTCCAAACTAATCTCCCCTAAAAATAACTTAAATTTCCTCATTCCTGGATTTGGGGACCTACAAAACTTAACTAGTACCTAAAATATCCAGCCCTAACTACTCTGTCCATTTCGAGATCCCCTTTAACAATGCCCCTTCCTTCCTATCCAGTTATACTTCCCACTACTCCCCAAACCAGATTCTATTTCAAGTCTAGTAACACTCTCCTTATACCTGATTCAGACACCATGTCCATGCTAACATTCATACATTGCTTCATACTTTTCCTTAAACAGAATTTGTGGAGAAGGAAACTCTCAGTCCAAAATAATGTCCCTTATCACTAAATTCCTTCAGTGATTACAAATAAAATAATATCTATGTCTAATGTACCTAACTGTATCTGACACAGAGAAGATGTGAAACAAATCCCAACCTCCAAGTTTTTTCTCTCCTTTCTTCCCCAAAGTCAGTAGCACCTGTTCAACATTATTTTCTCTACTGTTGTTTGTTTGGTGAGTTTTGCTTCTCCTAGTAAGTTCTTCAAGAAATCAAATTTTATATGTCTCTGTACCTCTTTATTTCCTGCATGGCATCTAGAAAAGGAACACAGTAATTGCTCAGGAAATACCTGTTGACTAACCTAATGAAGCAGTAGGTACCTTCTATATCGGGCATCCGGAGAGGAATTTTTAGGAGTGCTTTAGCTTCCCTTGAAGATCCTCAGTATAGAAAGGTGCTGGGATTGTGAACAGAGATCAGAAGGTGACAGAGTAAATACGAACATGAACCTACCAACTTGTTCCTGAGTTACTGTCACTGTTGGAAGAGATGTGATCTTTTCCTTGTCAGCTGGGGGAGGCCCTGTATTTTCCAGTTGTCCTAAAAGCTACAAAAAAAGAAAAAGGAAAAGAAGAAAAAGCGGCAGACATCTCACTATCCCTGGGGAGGGAGCTGCTCCAACTGAGAAAAAACAGAGCTGGGATTAGAAACGTTAGTTGCTCTTTCTTCTGCAAGGCTGTGAGAGGCTTGGGTTTCCTCTTTCCTGCTGCAAGAACACTTACAATTGCTTTACAATTTCAGAGTGACATTAGTACAAGCCTACAGACTCTTCATTGAAAGGCTCACCTTTGGGCATAAAGCAACTTCAGAGGCAGCAAAAGGGTTGCAATGTCATGAAAAAAACTACAGCTTAATAAAAAGTAATATTTAACTGATCCAAAAACTTCATTTTTGGTGGAAAATTTTGGAAAAGGGTGGAAGTATGGAAAATAGCATAAGGTAAGCCAGGAATTAGGTAAATTACTGCTTACAAGAAGACTTGGATATAAACGACATGCTTTCTATTCTCAGCAATCCACAGGGTAATGAAAAACCAATTAAAATAAAATAAACATACACAAGTGGAAGCAACTATACATGGCATAAGAATACCTTTTTCTCTGCTTCCTTCTCCTACTTTGCTCCATCTAGAAGAAATTCCTGCTTCAACATGTGAGGATACCCTCCTTTTTTGTGAAGTACTTGTTAAAAAGGATCCTCACAGGACTGAACAAGAGGCCAAAAACACAAAATGCTGTTTGTTATGGAAGTCTTTTCTTTCTATGGACATAAATCCATCTTCTAGAAAGCCCCTAGGACCTATAAAGTACATGGATGCTGTGCTAAACCCGTAAACCATTTATCCCTTTAGTAAAATGGAAACCGACAAGCTCAAAATATTAGGGAAAGCAGAGTGACCGCCATTTCAGAAAGTAGCAGAAGGAAAGCAGAAAGCCTGTGGAACCAGGAGACACACTGAACAGACACCCTCAAAAGGCAGCTCCTCACCTGGGTTACAATGGCATCAAGCCCTGTCTGACCCCAGGCATAGTCCCCAGGGTTGGAGTGCAGCATCCCGCTCCTATACATGAGATGAGATAGACAGACAGCATTAGATGGAGTGACCAGGCTCTGTCTTACACCACAGAAAAAACTGGAGGAGGAATCCTGCTCTCTCTCAGAACTGGAAAGTCACTAGTTCTCTAGAATCAACTGGCAAAGAATTTCTCAATATTTTCAAGGTCAAACAGATTAGCCAGAGGTAGTCTCTCATCCTCTAGGAATTTTTACTTAACTGAATGGAACGTAAAATGTGAAGCTACCTAAAATACCACAATGTGCCAAAGCAAAAAGAGTGACTCATGGCCTGTTGGTTAAGAAGTTTGTCTTCTCTGTGCCCACTTACATTAAACATAGATGGAGCTGCTTTTTAAGGAGAATTTTCCCTTCATGGCTGGCCAAAATCTACAGCAGACTTGCCTCAGTCTAAGAGGCTGCCCATAGTACTAGACAATGAGGAGCTTTCAAGTAAAGCAGCAGCCATAGCAGTCTCTCTGAATCACAACTTAGAGCAATTACCAAAGGGAGTTGGCAGCATCTCTTTTTGGAGTGGCTAGGGCACTGCCCTGGATGAAGGACGTCCAGACTCTCTGGCTGGAACATGTTTAAAGAAACTAGAGGTTGGAAAATAGGGTAATGGTGTAGAAGGACTGAGGTCCCTCTGAGCAAAGAGGCCTTCCAGGGCAGAGTCAGAAGGGGCAAATAATTGTACAAACAAGAGGAAATTCCTTTTTAATCCCTATCGTACGTAAGTGTCACTCTGATACTGAATTATACCCTCTTGTTTCTTCTGAAAAAACTTCTTATTTTTAAAAAAGAAAGTTAAATATGTTTGAAATTTCAGAAACTCTTAAGGAATGAAATCTTCCCATATGATCTAGAGGAAAAACCCACACATCAGATACCAAGCCTGGCAGGGATCATCTCATTCTCCATCTCAACACAAGCCACAGATCAGAATATGAACAAAATCAGACACATCCAGTGCCGAGACATCCTGGGGGACCAGAATATCCCTCATGAGCCTGAACAATAAAAAATAAGTTCTGATTAAGTTTGGGATCAGCAATTAATAGCAGTCTAACAGCCTGCCAATCACATCTATATACTCACCTATGCAGCTCTTTCTTTTCTTCACTATGGTACAGAAACTTTAGTACCTAAAATGATGCTACTCCAGCAGAGTAAGACAGAAGGCATTTAGTTACTTACCAGGTAAAAGGGTGTGGGGATCCAGGAATTGCAGAATTTGCAAAGAATCCTGCAAAGATCTGTTGTATTATTCTGTTGGAGGAGAAAATATTAGATAAGACAACAGACGAACGAAAGTACTTTACAGATATCCATGCCTGACCAATCATCAACTCCTGTCCCAAACCACAATGGCTTTTCACTGACCATTATACAATAGATAGCACCAGAAATCAGCCTGCTACCTGGTACAGTGCTATCTTGCTATTATGGCTATCTTCCTGAGCTCTGTTTTCTTATGGATTAACAGATTTTGTGAATTAGGCTGGAAAGGGATCTGATTGTATGGTGTAGTTTTCAAACTATGTTCCTTGGATCCTTGGCAGTAATATGAAGAGAGGCTGGAAGTGATGCTATGCCAGTGGGATTCTGGGCCTATCTCCTTATAACAAGGGTAGTTCCATTCTTATGTGTTTTACACACGGGGTTTTTATGTAAGAGACTTATTTAAAGAGTCCTTTTTCTTTCGAGAATAATTCCGTTTTACAAACACATATCAACATGCTGTATTAGCCCTCAAAATGTGTTTCAAATGCTTATAACACAAACACATGCAAACACACACACGCTTTACACTTGACATTCTGAACACTTAAGATGGTACATCTACCCAGTCCTTTATCCTAATGAGTTGGTCTTTGTTACCCAAAGAGATATGGGGTAATATCTCAGCAAAAGAAAAACATTAAAGGAATTTTCCTCTAGATCTCCCATTTTCTGAATGATACGCACTTTCTTTTCTTTTTTCCCCCAGCTTTACTGAGATATAATTGACAAGATAGGTACTTTTAACCCCCAGCTCCCACTTTATCTATTAGGCCAGTCAATATAACAATGGCAGTAGCCAATACCAGACTCTCACCATTCCTAAAGTTCAACAATAGCTAACAATACTGTGTGTTTCTTTTAAAATATGTCCACGGGACGGGCCCCATGGCCAAGCAGTTAAGTTCACATACTCCACTTCGGCGGCCCAGGGTTTTGCCAGTTCGGATCTTGGGCGCAGACATGGCACCACTCATCAAGCCATGCTGAGGTGGCATCCCACATAGCACAACCAGAAGGACCTACAACTAGAATAAACTAGAATATACAGCTATGTATTGGGAGGGCTTTATGAAGAAGAAGAAGGAAAAAAAAGAAGATTGGCAACAGATGTTAGCTCAAGTGCCAATCTTAAAAAAAAAAATGTCCACAAATTATCATAAAATAATAATAATAACTTCCTCCCTCAAGTATAGGCTGGACTTAGTGACTGATTTCTTAACAACAGAATATGGTTAGATAATCTGTGACTTCCAAGACTAGGTCATAAAAGGCACTGTGGCTTCCTCTTTACACCCTCTCTTGGATCACTTTCTCTGGGAGAGTGCCATGTCAAGAAGTCCTGTGGTAAGTCCCACATGATATGGAACAGAGGCCTCCTGCCAACAGCCACAACAAACTTGCCAGAATAGGAGTAAGCCCCAACTGATCCTTTACATGACTGCAGCAATGGCCGATGTCTTGACTATAAACTTGTAAGACCCTGGGCCAGAAGCACTGAGCTAAGCTGCTCCTCAACTCCTGACCCACTAAACCTGTGAAACAATAAATGTTTGTTGTTTTAAGCCATTAAGCTCTGGGATAATTTTCCACACAACGATAGATTACTAATACAAATTTTGATATCTGGAATTGAGTGCTGCTGTAACAAAAACCTAAAATGTGGAAGTAGCTTTGGAACCCAAGAGAGGTCAGAGGCTGGGAGGACTTTGAGGAAGGTGTCAGTGAACGTTTGAAGAACCTTGAAGAAACATAGAGAGGCATGATGGTCCCTGAGGAAGTTATGGGTGAGAGCTTCAGTGAAAGTGAGAAAAATCTTACTGGAAACTGGAGTAAAAGGGATCCTTGTTATATAGTGGCAAAAGTTGTTGCCTGCCATAATGTGGAAACTAGAAGTTGTGGCTCATGAACTGGGTGATAATTCAGCTAACAAGATTTTCAGACAGGAGCACTAAAGATGCCTCTTGGCTTCTTCTTGCTGCTTACATTAAAAAGCAAGAGAGGGATAAATTAAAGGAAAGATAGTTAAACAAAAAGGAGTTAAGACTAGATAATTCTGAAAATTCTCAGCCTCTCCAAATGATACGAAAATTAAGAAAGGGCTTCCAAGCAAAGAACAAATCCAGGACATTGCCAAAAGAAAACGGTTAAAGATAAGCCAAGACTGTGGCTATAACAATTCTTTGTTAAGACCTCAGAAAGATCTAGTGGTGCCTAGAGAACTATTCAGTTAAACAATTGGGCTTCTAAGAAGCTTAAGGGTATTAGTATTAGGTTCCTAGAGCTGCCATAACAAATTCCCACAAACTAGGTAGTTAAAACAACAAGAATTTTTCCCACAGCTCTGGAGGTCAGAAGCCTGAAATCAAAATGTTGCTAGGGCCTTCTGGAGACTCTGATGGAGAATCTGTTCCATGCCTCTCTCCTAGCTTCCAGTGGCTGCTAGCAATCCGTGCTGTTCCTTAGCTTGTAGACATATTACTCCAATCTCTGCCTCAGTCTTCACATGCCTGTCTTCCTTGTGTTTTCTGTGACCAAATTTCTCTCTTCTTAAAAGAATACCAGGGGCCAGCCTGGTGGCACAGTGGTTAAATGCACATGTTCTGCTTCGGCAGCCCGCGGTTCGCTGGTCGGATCGCAGGTGCGGACATGGCACCACTTGGCAAGCCATGCTGTGGCAGGTGTCCCACATATAAAGTGAAGGAAGATGGGCACGGATGTTAGCTCAGGGTCAGCCTTCCTCAGCTAAAAGAGGAGGATTGGCAGCAGATGTTAGCTCAGGGCTAATCTTTCTCAAAAAAAGAATACCAGCCATTGGATTAGGGCCCACTCTAACCTAATATGATCTCATCTTGATTACATCTGTAAAGACCTCATTTCCAAATAAGGTCACATTCACAGGTACTGGGGGTTAGGACTTGAACTTCTCTTTTTTGGGGATATATTTCTACCCACTACAAGTATTGTCCCTCAGCAATTCCAGCAGAAGCCCAAAGTAGAAAACAGATTATCTAGAAGAGATCTGTGGGTGTGGTTTTTGCTAATGGCATGAATCTCAATAAGATTCATAGGAGACTTATCTTACAAATAAAATTAAGTTTTAAAAAGAAACAGAGCCAGCTTAAACTGAAAGGTATACAGGTGGTACTAAATGAGAAGGGGCCTTCAGGCTCTCAAAATTCTACTGCCAAGAAGCAGGCTAAGAAAACTATGCAGCTACAAATTCGGACTACTTTTCATGGAAAAGAAAGGATGACTCACAGGGTGGAATCAAGAGCCTAGAGGGAAGAAACAAGAGCCACAGAGAAGCATTCCTGGGCAGAAATAGAACCAAGTCCTAATCAAGGAATCTCCAACATTTATCCAGACAAACATGAGAACTGCTATGAATCAGTGACTTCTCTGTGCTTCCCATTTTCTTTCTTTTTGAACAGGAATCTCTATACCTGTTTATTATATGTCTTTCCCATCACTGTATGTTAGGTGGGTGAGGGGCAGAAAACTTATCTCCTTAGTTTACAGGTCTTCATATCAAAAGGAATTGTACTTGAGGAACTATACTCAAGGAGCCTCATCCACACTTAGAGGTAATTAAATGACAACAACCTGGATTTCAAGTTGATGCTGTAAAGGGAAAAGACTATCGGTGGCTCTTGGGAGGAAGTGAGTCTATTTTGCACGTGGGAAAAATGGAAGGAATTTGTGGCCAGAGGGTGAACCGTGGTAGTTTTAAAATATGTCTACAAATCCTTTAATACTTCCCCCTTCAAGAGGTGGAGCTTAATTCTCCTTCCCTTGAATGTGGGCTAAAGTTAGTAACTCATTTCTTACAGATAAAATAAAATGTATGGCTGCAATGACAGTGTTTACCTTCTGCGATCAGGATATAAAGGGCATTATGGTTTCTTTCCTTCTTCCTTTCTCTCTCTCGGATCACTTATTCTGGGGAAGCCAAATGCCAAGCCATAGGGACACTCAAGGAGCCCTATGGAGAGCCACACATGGTGAGGAACTGAGGCCTCCTGCCAAAAGTCATGTGAGTGACCCAACTTGGAAGTGGATCCTTCAATCCCAGTTAAGTGGTCAGAGGTTAGTGCCGCCTAAATAGCTAAGATAAATACACCCAATGGTCAACACAGGTTAGCATAAGGGAAGCCACCTTACAGAGGGGAAGTATCTTGGGGCTATAACAAAATACCCACTTTTCCTTATTAGCAATGCTCTAGTTTGCACGTAGCTTAGAGAAGTACACATCTGCTTGCTCTGCTATTTTCATAGCCTTGGCTTATACACAGACCTCCCTATTCCAATGAGGCAATAAAACTTGGTTCTTTCAGCTTTTCCAGGGACGTAACGACCTTTGGGAAAAAACCTCTGCTGGTATCTGTCGCTGGTGAAGAGAGACAGGGATGCTCTGTAGTCTCAAGGACTACAACTCCAGATGGTCAACATCCTGAGACGCCCCCTCCCTTTTTCAGCCCATTTGCCCTATAAAACTGCTTCAAAATTCTGTAGTTTTAAGATGGTCTTTAGGACACAAGTCCACCATCTTCCCCCTTGCTGGCAAGCTGTAATAAAAAGACCCTTTCTCTCTTACAACCTTGCCTCCTGACTGTTGGCTTGTCTTACAGCGAGTGGAAGACTCCCTTTGGTGGTTACAAGATCACTGCAGCCAAAGCTGTTATTTTGAGTATAACCTCATGAAACCCTTTACCAGAACCACCTAGCTAAGCTGCTCCTAAACTCCTGACCCTCAGAAACTGGGAGATAGTAAATGTTTGCTGTTGTAAACTGATAAGATTCTGGGGTAATCTGTCACACAGCAATAAATAACATATATTGTTAAAAAGAAACAACAGGACCAAAGTGGAGTCACTTATGCCAAGCCCCACCAAGACTTAATATCTAACCTAAATGCAGTTTCAGCCTCTCCCAGGAGAGGACTTTTAAACCAATCTGTCTGGAATTTCCTGATCAACACTAGTGAGGTAATCTGCCTGATAAGACCCCCTGCCTTCCCCTAGAGGAAGGTGAACTTGCCTGAAATAATCCACTCTTTTAACTTGTCCCACCCTCTTTCTGCCTATAAAAATCTTCCATTTGTACAACTCCTCAGAGCTCCTTTCTGCTTGCTAGATGGGATGCTGCCCAAATCACGAATTGCTGAATAAAGCCAATTAGATCTTTAAGTTTACGTGGAATTTTTCTTAACAGTACCCTCCTTTGCTTGCCAGTAACTAGAACAGTAAATTATCACATGCTTGAATTAACCAATAAGTAAATGGTAATAATCAAGTCTGAGAGAGAGCCTACTTCCTTGAAGCTCTAAAGCTGACCCTATACAAAGGCTTGCAGTAGCCAGGGAAACCTCAGCTGATCAGCTGCTGATTCCCCTTTCTCAGCTGCTTTTTCTCAGGAAATCAGATGTTAGCCCCATGTCTTTGCAACAATAACACAGAGACTGCTCAGAGTGGCCCCAATAAGTACATGAGCTGTTGTTAGGAGATTATCTTCAGTTGATACATACATACTTACACTGATTTCTTTATTGTTGTTGCTAAATACATAAAATCCTTTCTCGATAAAGTAATAACAGGTAGCTAAAATGGGAGAGGTGGGAAGAAAGGAGGGTGGTATAATTTTAACAATCCATAGAAGAGAAATCAATCCACAGGGTCTTGAAGGGAAGACACAGATAAGAGTCTTCAGGTAAGAAGGGGGTCTTGAGGGAAAGATACAGATAAGACCAGATAAGAGTCTGCACCTAATTTCCAGAGCTGTACTCTCACTAAGTTTTCCTCCTAGGTCCCTGGCTGTCCCTTCTCAGTTTCCTCTGCTTATTCCTCCTTATCTCCCAAACTTCTTATCAATGAGGGCCCAGGGTTCAATTCTTTGAACTTTCTTCTATTCTCTTTCTTGACTGCTTTGGCAATTTCATCCAGTTTTATCATTTTAAATGCTACAAATAGGCCACAACTTCCAAATTTCATCTCCAGCTAACACCTCTGCCTATTCGACATCACCATCTGAATGTGTAATAAGCACCTCAAACTTATGATGTCCAAAACTGAACTCTTAAACCTTCTCCCCTAAACCTGTTCCTCTCAGCTGGTGGTGGCTCCATTTTTCTAGTTGCTTAGGCCAAAAGACCTTAGTGTCACCATAATTCTTCTCTCTGTTATACCTCATATCCAGTCTCAGCAAATCCTATCATGCCCATTGTCAAACTATATCTGGAATCCAACCATGTTTCATTACCCTCATCGAAACCACTGGCACCTCTAGCTTAGATTAATCCAACAGTCTCTTAAATGGTTTCTCTGCTTCTGCCCTTGCCCTTGTGCCCCTTGCAGTCCTCCCATTCTGTTCTCCACACAGCAGTTAGAATGATTATTTTAAGACATAAGTTAAACCATGTCATTCCTCTATCCTAAACTCCCCACTGGATTTCCACTGCACTCAGAATAAAAGCCCTTACAATAACAGCCTACCAGTCTGATCTGATGATCTGATACTCACCTCCTCAGTCCCACCCTCAGCAACTTCTCTGTGACCTCATTTCCTACTATTCCTCTCACTTACTCGGCTCCACACTGGCCTCTCCTTGCTGGCACATTCCTGGCTCATTCCATCACTTCAAGCACTTCACATCTATTCAAATACCTTTTCAATAAGGCCTTTGCTGACTGCACTTTTTGAAAGTTCACTTCCCCAATACTGCATTTCCCTTACCTGCCTTTTTTTCCCATAGCATTTACTATTGATTAACACTCTATTGATTTAAGTTATTTTGTTTGTCTGTCTTTCCCCATTAGTACTTAACCTCTGCAAAGAACAATCATTGACTGTTTTGTTCACTAACATATAGAACAGCACCTGGCACAGTAATATACAAATGTTTGTTGAATGAAAAAATCCCATGTGGGGCCCAATCAAAATATATATTGTAAGATATATACAATCTATTACAATAAAAAAGGAGATTATAAAATAGGTATAGTATGATTCTTTTTCAATCATATACATGTAGGTATCATATAAAAAGGTCTACAAGATTATGCATCAAGGTGTAACTGTTGCTATTTCTGGGTTATGTTGTCTTTTTAATCCATATCAATATATACTTATGTTGGTTCTTTTTTTTTAAATAAGAAAAAAAAGTTAACCAAAAAACGTCAATTCTCAAAATTTGAGTTGTGATCGGTAGTTAGAAAACTATGGTCCCAGAACATAGGGTTAACCTCAAGAGACCATAGTCTTAAGATAGGAATTCTTAGAAGTAATGCACCCTACAAAGCAATTCAGAGACAGTTTACTGCTAAGATCAAAGGACTTTCCTTTGTATAACGAGAAAGGAGGCTAAAACACCAGGCTAAAATGTAACAATAAAAAAAGTTAAAAAAGTACAACACATTAAAATAAAGATAAGTCTTAATGCAGTAAGTGTAAACTAATAGGTGGTAATCTCTATGAAGTCTGGAAAGCATGAATGTGTTAGTTAATCTAACACAGTCAAAGAAAAAGAACTGACAAATAATATTTTACCATGCTAAAAAAAATTCTTTAAGGTAAAATACGAGTAATGCCCTAGACTTATCACAATCTGCATGAAATTTCTCCTAACGATTATGAAGTTTCCTTTGTTGATTCTATACATACCAAATAACCATCTGATTGCTTTTGATTTCTTGATATCTGGGAAATTCAAAGATGGTATTACGTTACAACCCGAAAAGAGTTTTCCAGTCACTGAAACAGAATACCCCCAAGTGTAAATGAATAAATTAGTCTTCTCATACAGGTCAGATTCATTTAAGGTTAGATAAAATGAGCTAATCTATTCAGGACCTGATTACCTGGATAAACTATCATTTGAAAGATGCAGATTAGAGGATAGAGCACACAACTTAGGCACACTCAATAAAAATTTGAATGAATGAACAATGTAAGACTCACCCCTCTTTATATTAGCAAAATGGTTTCACTCATGCCAATGAAAAAGCCAAAGGAAATATATCTCATTTCAGGGGAACTCCTTAGGCTGGTGTGAGGAACACATTAATAATCCCATAAAGGCTAATCTCTGACATCTGATTACTTAAAAGACAAGTATTCTCTCTACAGTGCAATCAGTGGAATGAAGAGGAGCCTGAGACATTGTCCATGGAAACCACCAATTGAAAGCCTGACAAGCAGAATAAAAAGTTACACTGCTTCTCAAATCAACAGGACAAAGTGTCAAGAAGCCAAGATGAAATTTAATAAATAAAAAAAACTATCAAATATAAAATTGTAACGTGCTTTCAAAACACTGGGTAACATTACAATGACAACTACTATAAAGCAGTACATGTGGAACAATCTGGGCAGACCTGCAAAGGAGGCAGAGTAATATGCTCCAACGATATGTTGTGTTCCATTTACACTTACATGAAAGAAAAAAGAAACAACTGAAAACTTTCAAGTTCTACTTATCGACACACTGGTATGTGTGCCTTAGAAGGAAGTTTCCAAGAAAGTTAGGGAAATGCTTAAGTCTTTTTTTAAAAAATTTGGGAAGGCTATATGATACTGTTAACTTTTTTCAAGTATTTTTTAAAATTTATAATTCCACCAAATACAAATATCTTTATTTTTGCAATATTCTGGCTCCAACATTTAACTGGCTTTATATCCTTAGGCAATTTACCTGACCTCTCTACGCCTCAGTTTCTACTGTAAAATGGAGATATTCACAGTAACTTCGCCACAGGGTATAGTGAAGATTAAACAAATTAACATCTGTAAAGCACTCAGACTGGTGCCTTGCACAAACTCTTAGCTACTATTACTACTAATTCACATGTTCCATACATCTCTTAGAAACAATCACTATTATCCGTTTATCCAACACAAATATATTCAGTATCTACTATAAAACAGACACTATGCTAGAAGCTGGGAATACAGAGATGAGTAAAACACCGCCCTAGACCACTAACCCCTGAAGTAACTGAAAAGGTTGGAACAGATCTGGTCCCCCAAAATATGCCAGGCTCAGATGGAATTACACGTAACTTTTATCAAACCTTTAAGGAATAGGTAATTCCTATGTTATTTAAACTATTTCCAAGTATAACAAAGCAGGAAGATTTCCCAGCTCATTTTATGAAACGAACATAACCCAAAGGAAAATTACCAGTCCCCTTATGAACAGATGCAAAACTCCTAAAAAAGATGAGGAATAAATCAACTCCAATAGTGTATTAAGAGATTAACGCTCCTTGACAAAGCAGTTTTTATTCAAAGTGTGCATAATGGGTTCAACATTAGAAAATCTATGAGTTAATAAAAAGCATTAATTGTTTAAAGGAGAAAAAACATTTTTGATAGGGCTGCAAAGAACATTTGATAAAATCACTAGTCATTCTTAATTAAAACTCCCTAATAAATTAGCAATAAAATAAATCTTTCTTAATGTGATAGTGCATATGTTAGGAATCAAAAGCAAACATGCTTAACAAAGAAACACTAATTCACTCCCAATGAAGTCAGAAAAAAGACACGGATGCATACTACTAGACAACTTTGTTTTGATAATAGTGCAACAGGTAAGTAAAAATAATGAGACATAAACACAGGGGAAAAATACAATCAATGTTTATTGATATGACTGATAATCTAGAAAACTTAGAATAAAATGAAAAACTATCAGAGCTAATAAAGGAATTCAAGTAAGTAGCAAGGTGATGGATAACAAAAAGCTTTCCAGTAATAATCAGTTAAAAAAGTAAATGAAACTATAAAATTTTACTAAATGACATCAAAAAAAACAAAGAGAGGCACAATGCGAAGTTGGCCTAGATGCGAAATTTCAATATTATAAAAAGTGCCAACTGTCTCCAAATTAATATATAAATCCAATGCATTTCTAATCAAAATCCCAAAGGGATGGGAGAGGAAAAAGAGATTGACAAATTGCACCTAAAAACCATTTGGAAGGGTAAATGTAAGAGAAGCATCAAGAAATTTTTGGAAAAGAATAATGAAGTGGACTTTCACTACTAGGTATCAAATCATACTATAAAATTATGGAAAGTTAACCAGTAAGGTACAGACATAGGAACACACAAATAAAGATCAACAGAGATCTAAACAGAGAATCCAGAGACAGATGAGTATGAAAATGTGTATATAATAAAGATGATATTTCAAATCAGATGGATTATTCAGTAAATTATGTTGCAAATAATTAGATACTCATATTGGGAAAAAAAGATAAATCCTTAACTTAAAAAATGCACAAGAATAACAACTGCCACCCACCAGCAGTGTGGGCAGAAAATCCAAACAGAGCCAGAGACCCTCCATGAACGCTGACAGATGGACATATCCTCTGGGATGAATACTCTAATGTTCTTGTAAACTTGGAGATACCACTAGCTGTTTTTCACTTTACATAGGGAGAGCTATCTAATAATGAGGCTGACACAGGAAAGTAGATTCAAGAGAGACAGACAGATGAAGATAACACATTGGTTGACCATCTAGATCCATCTAAGAACTTCTAATTTATGTCACTGATTCTCAATATTGCCCCTACACAGGGATCTAGAAATCCAAGGAGACAGTTTTGCTAGTTACAGTAAGTGGGGAGATACCATCCACATTTAGTAGGTAAGAAAGAACAGTGTTGGCCACTCTGCAATAAATGGGAAGATGACCAGGCCCAACAAAGAACTGTCCTGCCTGGACATGCACTTGGAGAAAAACTGTCTTTAATTAACTGAGCCTAAACTCCATTGAGTTTACTTAAACATAAAGTATTTTCTGGGGCCGGCCCGGTGGCGCAGCAGTTAAGGGCACACGTTCCGCTTCTTGGCACCCTGGGATTCACCGGTTCGGATCCCGGGTGCGGACTTGGCACCACTTGGCAAAAACGATGCTGTGGTAGGCATCCCACATACAAAGCAAAGGAAGATAGGCATGGATGTTAGCTCTGGGCCAGTCTTCCTCAGCAAAAAGAGGAGGATTGGCAGTAGTTAGCTCAGGGTAATCTTCCTCAAAAAAAAAAAAAAAAATTTAAAGTATTTTCTACTTGGTTTTAATACATATTGAATTTTTATACATATGAATTTAATACATATTGAATAGACGCAGGAATGCATCTATTGTGAAAAATCGAGGAAAAATTATACATTCCCTCTCCCAAACTTTCCCAAAAGCTCTTTATCATTTTGAAAAATCATAACCCTACAGTAATGATGCTTGTGGTAATGAGCTGTCAATATAACACTCTTGCATCATCTGCATTTGTAACTATTACATTCTTTTTTTTTAGTTTAATAGATATTTATTTGTTCATTCAGTTGAACAACCTCTACACACAACCAAAATAAATGGTTTAAGATTTCTTTTCTTTTGAGAAGAAAGGAATTTAGGTCTCAAGAGGTTTTATGGGCCTCTTTATGTTTTCTGGAAATCATTTAACCGAGCCTTTTGAGACCTCTAAAGAAAACAGGAGAAAATTTGTTTCAAGAAAACCAGTAATTAGATTAAAATCAAACTACCCATTCTTAAGTCAGCAAAGCCAGAATTGGAAAGAACTGGGGCAATTTTTCTTCACATTTCCTACATGCTCAACTTTACCCTGGGAAACAGAAGTCTAGTCTACTGGAAGACATGGCGCAAACAGAATAAATTCAACAGAATATGGTGGTATGCTTTTAAGGAGGGTACAATTGATGGCCTGCTACGTTTGTGGAATCTTAAGGATTCTGAGGGTAGGCTGGCCAGGGATGAGAAAAATCACAGCAGACAACACATAAGGTCAGACTTGTATTGACACCAACTACATGACTTTTCTCAGTAGCCTTATGGGAGTGGATAAAGTGGGCTGACCCAAGATGACCTGTAAAACTGACTGGATTGAGCAATGATATATTTTTAAGTAAAGCCAACCACATTTTTCCCCGTAAGGTGGCTAGACGGTTCACAATGGTCACAAATTAGCATTACAGATAAAGTATTTAAAATCTGGATTAAAGCTGACTTTAATTTTTTATCCTCAAACACTTGAAAGGCATTTATCTGATGGCCACCAGCTTCCCAACTCCAGTATTAATTACTAGCTTACAAACCTTCTCATATACCTAATGTTCAATTTCAAATAGTTTCAGTACACACCAGTGTAAATAACACTACTGACTACTTGGCACAAAATTCAAAATTCCACAGATCCCATGGAGCCATGGGATTGAACTAGGAGCCTTCATCTTTTACGTGAACTTCAACGGTACTGTGGAGGATTAAGGCAATTTTGTTTAGGTTAACCAGGATTTGTTTCATTTGCAAGAGAACCCTCTTGCAATAGGTCTACTCAATTCTCCTAAAAAAGGTGGCATTCTTTTAGACTTTTCTCTTTTCAGAAACAGCAATACATAAATGGAATACTGGATTAAATCTAAAAATGAGGGATCTAGGCAGCTTTCATTATTTTTCCACACATGATCATGACAAGAGGTTAGGATATCCTCCTCTCATCCTATTTTCCAAGCAAAACACAATTTTAAAAGTTTCTCTTTGCCAAACTCCAAAAAACCAGCCACTTGAGAGTAAACCAGCAGAGCATTGCACCACCTCAATAAAACTGTGGGTTTCATCACATGCACCAACAAATCTACAGGGCTAGTTTCTGCACTCCCCTTTTAAAGAGTTTATTTTACACCTATTATACCACATAGCATTTTAAATGTTGATATATAACTCCCTAAAAAGATAAAGCCAAGACAAAAGCATTTGTTAGAAACAAGATACCCCATCACTTAGTCTTCAAACATTACTGTACCTTAACTTTCATAATTTGACTATGCATTCATGAAACAATCTGGAGACTAGTTTTAACAGACAAAGAACACTTTTAAGCAGACATGACTGCCCTAAATTGTTTATTAGGTAAGAATTTTACAAACATTACTTATATTAGTGCTAACATTGAAGCCAGAGAGTACTGTACCTTCTCCACGCTGCACAGTGAAACCCACCAACAGTCTGGTGGAACTTGGGGCCCTTTCCAAGGCCTCGGCTCTTGCGGCTGCAGATGTCAGCCCTTACATCTTCCTGTGCTTGTGGATTGGTTTGGTGAGCCACAGTGTGGCAGGATTTCCTCTGAGAGTGTTATGGAATGGATCAATGAGAATAACCTCAAAAAATTTGTACATGGAATCTTCACCAACCCAGTAAGAATTCAAGACTCAGAGCCCCACAGGGGCATCCAGACTGCTCCTCAGAAACATACTGAAGGCTTCAAGCAAACTTTAGCTGGTTAACACCGTGATGGACAGGCTTGCTGTAGGTTGCACTTGTAGGAACTAGGCATTTGCGGCCACCATGGTGCACACGAATCCAACATATGACATAACTTTGCATGGCCTTGTATACCAGTCTATGCTCTTTATCAGGCCCTGTGCAGCATAGAGAGCTCGCAGTAGTGCTAGCAGGGCACCCTGAGAAGATAGCACATTACACCAGACTGCTTCTTCCTCCAAAGCTCCTGGATGTATTTGTAAACACCCACCTTGGCTTATTTGATGAGGGAAAGGCACAACCACATTCCTAACGATTCTACATGCAGAGGCAAGCATCTGATATTTCATTTTGTCTCCCAGAACAGTCACAGCCAAGCACTTACAAATTAAAACATACACTTTTTTATATATTACTTTCCTTTTATTTCTCCTTTTTATTAGTCGGAGAATAACAACATATGTGCACTTTTTAAAATTCTGCTTTATAGGTTGTATTATCAATGAATTTCAAATCAGGAGAGTAAAACGGGACATTATAAGATATTTGTTATAAAGGGGAGACATTGGGTCTGATATAGCCAAGAACCATTTCAGTTATATGAACCAACACATTCTAATTTTTTTCTTAAGTTACATTAAATT